GCTCCTTCAAATAAATTTTCTCGATTTGTAAAAACTTTTGTCTACACCGTTCGAATGTCTACTACTACCTGCACGCCATCTCCTACATAAATGACACAGCAAGTCACTTCTCCACCCACAAACGAGTTCTTTTCATTCTACTTTAACAAACCGTCCAACAGTTAAAAGAAAAAGTAGCTCAAATCTGAGATTTATGTTCAAAATTTAGCCAAAAGATCACGTTACTGCAGACCGAAAAGTTGACTGAAATTTGTTCTTTTGTTAATTCAGGAGAAGATCAGAAGCATGGAATGTGAGACAATGATGATGTACCGATAGGCAAGCAGAAAGGAAATATCAGGTGGTTATCCGAATGTATAAAGCATTTTTTTATACAAATTTTGTGAAATCTGCAATTTCTTTGCTGTTTGCTTGTTTCTCTTTGCCTGACATAAAACTTTCATTTATTTCTTTAATGTGTCTTACGAATAGACGAAAGAATAATAAAGTATCGGAAATAAGATCTCAAATTAACAGATTATAGTCAGTCCACTTTCTTCTGCATTCATTACTTTTATCGACATAGTATTTTTATTTTTTATCAAAGGCTATCATCAGCTGAAGCGTAAACTAGCTGTCGTTCTACTAATTAAAAGTCAAAATCTCAAAATTCAATGAAGTATTTTAGTGATCTCCGTTGTTTGCTACTACTACTCTACCAACTAAAATATATTCTTACCTTTAAAATAAATACAATTAACTAATATTAATTTTGTAGCCGATGTAACATCATGTGGCGATAGTAAACCTTTGATTAAATTATTCGTCTGTTTTTCAACCCATTGATTAATTTGACTTGTTGCTTCGACTGGTCTAGTTTTATAGTCAACGCTTGTTATTGATGACAAATATTCTTGTTCTAATAAACTTTTATAAGTTTGTGAAATATTAAAATGCATTTGAATAAAAATCTTATTTGCTAACTTTAATTTAATTTCATTGCTATCGCTCGATTCTATAATTGAAGCAATTTTATGTGCTCGTACAGTCATATCATTAATTGTTGAAACATTTAATGTTGTAAGCATTTCTTTTAGTGTTGTACCATTGGCACCTGCGGCAGTCATACTTAATACAACTGAAATGCTAGCTGGCGAGAAAAATATATTTTCTGTAGACGTTGATTTAATTAATTCACGGTATAAATTCCAGCCAAATTGTTCAAAATCTCCATCAGTAGAAGATTGAGTGATTCTAAGTGCGTCTAAAAATAGAAAAGAAAACTAAGACAGTAATTAAGAATTCGTTACGAAAACCATGATCAAAAATTGCACTTAATCGCTATTTACGATTCTTCCTAAAAAACCCAAGATTAGACCGACAAATGAGAATACGTGAATATTGATTGTGCCGGCTAAGTTTTTTGCGTTTTAGAAAAATTCAAATGGTGCCAAATATTCTGGGATCTATGGACTATTTAATCGCATCAAGATTTTGTTTCAACTATTGAGCTTTCGGCACAAACCTATCAGCCTAAAACCAGCTGTTTGTAATACGTTGCGTGACCATCAAGGAAAAAAGTATTTTAAATTGAATCAACCCAATTTCAGTTTGTAAATACTATCAATTCGCATTACATATCTGTGCAAGTGACTAATGTGAAAGTGATATTTTTTCGAAAGATCCTCTAAAATTTAAAAATTAAATTCTTGTTTTAAAAATTCTCAAAGTTTTCTGAGCTAAGTTAAATTTAATTTATCTCTCTTCGATCTGACTTACCTGAATTATCATTCGTAGAATAACAATCACCACCATTACTTCTTAATAATAAAACAATAATTAGAACTGAACATAATAAATACAGGTAAGATTTATTCGCCATTTGTTTTTGTAAATGCTCGTGCACAACCGA